AGAATATACTGTAAAGTGAATTGAATTTGTGGGCAAAATACGGCAGCCGAATGTGCACAGCAGTGTCCCACAAACAGTCGTGAACTGAGTGACCAAATTATTATTATTATTATTTTTTTTGAAGGAATTATTAACCCCAGAAAAGCGATTCGCCAATCGACTAACAACCAAGGATTGAGGAAAGTTGCCCAACATTTTGACCTGCTGGGACGTGAACCTGGGTCTCCCACTTGCAGGGTGAGTGCTCTAACCACTGAGCTACAGGACTCCACGTCCTGTAAACACCTACTTATGAAGAAGCATCGACTGAAAGGCGATCATCACGTCTGCATCATGTCCCAGGGCAGGAGAGATCCAACGGATTTGGAAACGCTTCCAACAGCACTGGGTCAACTCCTGGTCTTAATGGACCACACCAGGTGAAGCATTTACACATCAGAGAGCTTTTTTACCATTTCCTTCGTTCACAAAACACGCAGTCAATACAGGTTGTGAGACGTCCTCACGAGGTGAAATACCAAATGTAAGGGTTATTTAATCTTTGGGACACCGGAAGTGACATTGGCAGCAATCCTGATAACCAGGAAGTGAAACTGGTTACCATGGCCTCGTTGTAAGGCGGGTTGGGATTTTACGGACCCCAACAACTGCTTTACAACGTGGGTCCAGTGCACGTTCATGATTCTGATTGACCATCTGATGGCCCGGAGTCTTAACTTTGGAGGATTTATTTGTGTTATTTCTCAACGAGATTCTTCAATCAGGAATCGGCAACACGCAGATCTGCCAAGATCTACGAAACTGACAAAGTGGGCAGGATGGGCTGAGCGGCCTCCTCTTACGTACCTATGACACAATCTACTTCTGAACTAGAGTTTTATGATAATAATAATCCTTACAGCGCCTTTCACATCAGGAGTACGGCTCAAAGTGCTTTACAGAAGCACTGGGCATTTCATATAGGCAAGTGTGGCAGCCAATTTACACATATAGCAATGTCCCACAAACAGCCACGGAGTGAGTGACCGATTTTATTTAAAAGACTGTTGGCCAGGACATTAGATAGAAACTCCCTTCTCTTTTTATATAGTGCCATTTGATCTTTAACATCCACCTGAACAGGCAGGTGGGACCTCGGTTTAACGTCTCATCTGAAGGATGTCACCTCGGAAGCAACAGGAGTTTTGACCGGATAAGAATCCGATTGAGAAATACAATAGCCCAAGTTAGATCTCCACGGTCGATAGATTTCAATGTTATTATGTTTTCCAGTTTGTCAATGCACAGGATATCTCATTAAAGGTTAGACTGTGACCCTGTCCCCATCCGCCGACACAGACACACATCCAAACACGTCAATCATCAACTCATCAATACTTAACCCCTGGAAACTTTATCCCTTTTAATTGGGTTCGGAAAGTCTCTCGGAAGAATGGATGCTGACCAAATGAGTAGCAGCTCGAGAGACAGGGGAAAATGGCTCGTGTAAAACCGTGCTGACGTCAGTGTGTCATTAGGTTACCTCAAAGCCTCATTGACAGCAGCGCTCAAGTAGAAAATGACGCTCTTCCAACACAGCGCCTCTTAGTTATATCACTCAAGAAAGAAGAAAGGACAGGCAGCATGTCAAAAGACAATGTCATTCAGCTGCTGTGCATCAGCCTGGCAATTGCGATTCCACTCAGTCTTGCCAGGATACCTATTTTTAGCTCTTTCAAAACTGCTCCAACCTCTTTAATATTCTCACTCTGTGTATGGCTCATATCAATTATTGCAAATAATACAGGTTGGATGCTCCCCCTCTATAATTTGGAGAGCAATGTGACCGACTAGCTTCTAATGCCCAATTTATCTACCTGTACTAAGTCTTTTTTTTAAAGACGTATGCACTTACAGACATGTACATTTGATATATGTTTATACACGCAGACACCCACACACATACACACACACGTATATATATATGTGCACGCATTCACATCAAGGCTGTTTATGGGACATCGATGTGCGCAAATTGGCTGCCGCATTCGCCTACAAAAATACACCGTCATTAACACTTAACGCTAAAATCCTGTGAAGCGCTTTGAGACACCTCGACGAACTGATAAGGTGCTGTATCAAATGCGAGGATTATTATTATTTATAATCAGTATCTGTGTAAAGGTGTATATATGTCCAATGGCTCTCTGTCCCCATCAGAGCAACTTCGATATCCTTGTCCTGACCTTTAAATCCCTCCATCCTCTCCCTCACCTCCACCACCCCCCACCTCCTCACAACCTCCTCCAAAAACCTTTTCCCTCCTCTCTTTTGGGAGGAAGCGCTGGGGGGGAGGGTGGGCTCCATGGAGAGAGGAGGGGGGTTTGTGAGAGCAAGAGAAGTGGGGAGATCAGAAGACTAATTTCTGCGTACGGGACACTTTCCAACACAAGTTCTATCGATGCGTTTTATCCTTGGAAAAATGAACACAGACCGCTTTACCAAACATTCCCCACCCCACAGTGGCCCTTTAACAAGAGAGGAGAGGCTTGCTCTGATGGTGGAGCTCTGGGAAGTGCCTGATAGCTCGCCCTCCTCTCTCTACTTCCCCCACCCACCCCACCCACCTCACACCTCCCTCGCACTCGCCATCACCAGCAGTGTGGGGCAATTACATGGGGAAAAAAAACATAAACTTTTCTTTTCTCTTTGGTTCTGCCACGTGCGGAAACCCATCCCCGTTGCTTAAGAGTCTCCAAACCAAACTGAGAATTCCATGCATCCCACCTACACATGGAAATTCCAGCGATAGATTGTTGGAATGGATAATAATAATAATAATACTTGCATTTGATATAGCACCTTATCACGTCTTCGACACATCTCAAAGTGCTTCACAGGATATACTGTAAAGTAGAGTGACTGTGTATTTTGTGGGCGAAACGCAGTAGCCAACTGAGCACAGCAGCGTCCCACAAACAGTCATGGATTGAAATTGACCAAATTATTATTATTATTATTTTTTGGAAGGGATTATTACCCCCGGAACCCAATCCGCCAATCGACTAATAACTGGGTTCCTATCTATGCAGGGGATCCTCGGTTCAATTTGGATGCTCTTAAGCACGGTGATGGATTTCCATAAACGTAACAAGTAGGTCACATAACATACGAGCCCAGAAGGCAGCAGTGGTTGGGGATATTTCAAGCGTTGATAATGCAGCCTGAGTCTCTCCAACTTCTCCAGGGTGCTTGAAGCTCAGGTGGAACGATCGGTCCTGATGCCTAGAGCCATTCAAACTGCTTCAGAGAAATAATGCATGAAGATGAAGCAGAGCATTGTTGAAATCCAGGGACCATCCAGGCTTAGCTTCACGTTAATGTGCACCATTCTTTCTGGTCCGTTGGTGAATGCTTTTGAATGTAGGTCAGTGTTTGACTCCTTACCAATTACATACTCTGTTCTGGTTGTTATTACTTGGGAGTAGTTGACATTTCATGACTACTGCGGGGTGGGGCAGAGGGAGCTGAGGAGATGCTTAATTCGTAGAATAATAATAATAATCATCATAATCATAATAATAATAGCCCTTGCATTTGGTACAGCTCTTTTCATGTCAGGAGGACGTCTCAAAGCAGGACAGCGCCAATCCCACAGTTCCTCCATCTTGCCCCCTCCCTCGCCACCTTCAAGACCCATCAAGACCCTCCTCTCCCTGCTTCCCCCCTGCTCTCCACCCTCCCCCAACCTGACCCCCAGCTCGGGTCCGTAACTCTGTCTGTCCAGCGCCTTGGGACGTCCTCCCAACGTGAAAGGCGCTTTACAAATATAATTTTGTTGTTGTTGTTGGCTAAGACCTGCACTTGGCGCTGGGTGAAGAGGAAAAGATTATTCGAAAGCAGATCACGAAGCCTAGAAAACATTGGTCTGAAAATTAATGTAACGTAAGTGATGCGAAGCTATCTATCAGCGGGAATGGATTGATGGATAGCTTCAAGAGATCATCTTCTTTAATTTTCTAAATGGAATGTGCACGGAGGTGAGACGGGCAAAGGCACCGAGCTACCATCTCGCCGGCATCAGCTTGATGTAACCGAGACGCAGTTTATTGTTGAGGTCGCGGAAGATTGAGCTCGGCTGTTCCTACTGAGCTCCATTTAGCATCTCGCTGAAACATAAAGCCACATAGCATCCCTGGTATCGCAAAGCATCTGCAACCCTACCCACACATTAATCTGAGAATCATTCACTTGCCGTCTAGCGGAGTCTCTTGAGTTTCATTTTGTGGTTGTTTTTGGCGGGATGTCACTCTGTGCAAACTGACTGGTATTATTTTTAATCGGTCTTTGTATTGTTTACAATATAAGAGTTGCATAATATATGCATATTTATAATAATAATGATAATCCCTGCATTTGATATGACGCCTTATCACGACGTTGAGACATCTCGAAGCGCTTCACAGGATATACTGTAAATGAATTGGCTGTATATTGGCTGTACGCAATTGGCTGCCATGTTTCGCCCACAAAATATCAATCCGCTTCAGTCAATCCACTTTACAATTTATTCTGCGAAGCGTCTTGAGATTATATCGAAGTGCAAGGATTATTATTATTATTAACTTGGAAGCCTTTCGCTGAGCTTCTTTGATACACCAGAGTCTTTGCAAAGTAGCCTCCTGCAAATGCTGAGCCTATAACACTGTGGTCAGATCTCACCAACTCTCTTTCTCTCTCTCTCTCTGTGGATCTTCCCCTTGCTAGGGTCATGAAGTGTTTGTGAAATGCCCGATCGGACATCAACCCAGTTCAGCAATCACCACTGACAACCCAAAGACAAGCTGCTCGTGCCTCTCAACAGCAATCTGTCCGACCACACCACACGCCAGGCTGTCGTTTGGCTCCCAGGGCTACTGTCAAGACATCTCTGCGGACGCTCATACTTGTTTGATACAGACAGAGGCCTGAGGAAGTGACGGGAGCTGCTGCTATTTCCTACGGAGAAACTCTTTCCTCACGTCATGCAGTATATTTCCTTTTTGCGTCAAAAAAAATATAATATTCTTCGCTCTTCGGCATTTCTTCATCTCCTGAATCGTGCGGCTCAGACTGGGGCGGACTCGAGCGGCCACCGTGCAATTAAGTGGCCGTTCTTTACGTGTGAGCTGAGGCCGCAGGTCCTGACTGAGTGTTTGGCTGTCGGAAGCATCACGCAGGATCACAAGATCGGTTCGGATGCAGAAAGTCCCTTCCACCCATCTGATCTTATCCTTTCAGATGCCCATGACCTTACCCATCCCCCCTCTCCCCCCTCCTCCCACCCCCACAATCACAGCGGTGAGCTAAACAAGTCCCTGCAACTCAGCTTAAACCACCCATCCCGCTACCCTGTTCCAGTTATTAATTACCCTCTGGGGTAAAGAAATACTGCCTGGTGTTTGCCCTGAAATTGCTCTTTGAACCTCAAACCCACTTTCTCTTGTTCCGCTGTCTCTTTCATCCAAATCTATTGATCTGGGTTTTAACTTTCTCAATCCCACTTAAAAATCTTGTACACCTTTATGAGGTCCCCTCCAAGAAATGTCCTTTCAGGACTGATATAACAGAACCCCCATCTTGTCTTCGCTTGACGTCACCTTATATTTTGTGGCGGGGACGGGAGTATGGGCGGATGTGAGGGCAAATGGTCCACTGGCTAGCAAACAGAAATGACTTTCACTTACTCTGCTCACGAATACGGAAGACAATTCTAGTGTCTCCATTTAATTAATGCCCCCGGCTGAGATCAGCGAGGAATCAAACTTTCTGTTCTGTGTGGCTTAATGCTACTGTGGCACTTAGCCATCAGAGGTACCTATACCCAGAAAGGTTGGTGCAAGAAACCCCTTCCACACACTGTCGACCGAGCCAGGTTTAGCTGGTTGTGTATCAGCGGTGCCTTGGAATACTGCGGATTCCCCCGGCTCCGGAACTTAAAGGTTAAAAGAAGCTCAAAAACAAGAATTATAGCAACAAAATCTGATAACCAACAACAACCTGAGTTTATATAGCGCTGTGCGCAATTGGCTGCCGCTTTTCAAGCACAAAGTACACAGTCAATTCACTTTACAGTGTATCCTGTGAAGCGCTTTGAGACGTCTCGAAAACGTGATGAGGCACTTTCTCAAACGCAAGGATTATTGTTATTATTATTCATGCAGGGTAGAGTCTCGGAGCACTTGACAATGGCATGGTTTTACACTAAGCCGAGGAGAGAAGGGAGGTGACTGTAAGCATGGTGGAAGAGGAAAGACATCCGGGGCGATCTGAAGTCGGGCAAAGAAGAGGTGAGACGGAAGGATTGAGGCAGGGAGTTCCCGAGGTTTGGTGTGTTATAACTCTAGGCACATACCGCCAATGGTGGAGCGGAAGGAAGGAGCCAGCTGAGCGAAGGAGGCAGGCACATTTGTGAAGCGACTTTTACATCGGGAGGACGTCCCGAGTTGGGCATCAGGACCCGAGCGTGGGTGGGGGCAGGGTTGGGATGAGGGAGGACAGAGGTGGTAGGAGAGCGGCTGAAGGCACGGTCGAAAAGGAGGGTCTTAAGTCATGCCTTGATAGAGGCAAGAGAGGGAATGAGGGGAAGGGATTGTGGGATGGAACTCCAAAGGGTGGGAGCAGAGAGGCTGAAAGCCCGGCTGCTGATGGTAGGGCAGGTAGGGCGGGAGACATGGAGCAGGCTGGAGGAGGGAGAGCACAGGTTGATGGGGGTCAGCAGGTCAGAGAGGTAGGAGGGTGCAAGGCCGTGGAGGGGGTGGAAAGTGAGGACAAGGATTTTGAATTCTATCTTCTGAGGGATGGGGGAGCCAGTGGAGCCGGGCGAAGGTGGGGGTGATGGAGCCTGGTGAGGGAGAGGACACGAGTTGCAGAGTTCTGGATGATCTGCAGCTTGTGGAGGGAAGAGTTAGGGAGACCGGCAAAGAAATCAACCAAGAGATCAACAGAGATCAGAAATTACCCTTCGCAAGGTATATTAATAACGATAATCCTTGCATTCAGCACAGTGAACCACATTGGGAGGACATCTCAAAACGCTTGATTTTATTGTAAAGTGTAGTGACTGAACTTTTGTAGGTGTATTTTTGTAACATTTACACAAGTCTCAAACCTGGGTTGGGCTCAACTGGCTCTGAAAGGGTTTTATTGAAGAAATCTTCCAAAAACCACTCAAAAACGCACATCTCCCAGTTCAGTACAAATCGCTTTACTTAAAAGTATTTTCCCGCAACTAAACCACATCAACTGTCCACAAGCTCTATTGGAGATAAACAAAAAAAATCAAATATTAATCCATCAATTCGTTCAATCATCTCACTGTTCCATAAATAGTTCGAACAAAATACGTAATCTTCAACTCAGAGAATTATACGAGAATTGACTGTTTTATAAATTCTTTCACTGTCTGGAGAGTAAACTAGGTTAATCCTCTAAACGGGTTTTATATGGCTGTTTGTGGGACGTTGCTGTGCGAAATTGTGCTGCCGCATTCGCCTACAAATACACAGTCACTCCACTTCACAGTAAGTAAATCCTATGAAGCAATTTGAGACGTCCTCCCTACGTGAAAGGCACGATACCAAATACAAAGATTATTATTAGTAGTCGGCAATTATTATGTTATTACAGTTTAAATCATTCTGTAGAGGTCATTTCTTAATGGTTTTCAGTTATGGGTCACGCAGACTAATAAATACTGACACTTTACATATGAATCTTTTCTTAATATATTTGAACTTCCTAAGATAGCTGCTTTCCCCAGCTATTTTGTCAAGCCAGCTTTGAATTGTTTTATTAACTGTCCCAACTGCACTGATGATTATAGGAACTATGTTTGTTTTACATTGCCACGTACATCCACACTCAATTTGAATTATTACTACACAAATACGTATATAAAAAGCTGTTTCCCAGGGAAGCACAGAGAATGCAACTTCAATGGAGAATAAGGCAAAGCTAATGACAGAATATCTCAAACTGAAGATTTTTTATTTTGTTCCCCCTTTTACTTTAGCCTCACCCATAGTTCAGTGTGAAAGCTTCTCAGACCACGTACTAGCTATTTCACACGCAACCACGATTACACAGTCACTACACTCTACAGTAAAACTCCACCATGACGAACTGTGAGACGCTTCGATGACGTGAAGAGGCGCAATATCAAATCCAAGGATTGTTATTGTTGTTTATTATTATTGTTGTCACTCAGACCGAAAGGGATTGAACATTTATGGACTTTGAAGCGCTTTGAGGATTATTGTGCGATTCCCCGTAATTCCAAGGTTTAGTTGTCCACTCACCTCCCCGAGTTGATGAAAAAGGTGAAAGTACTGGCAGTCGACAAGTGGAACATGTAAGAAGCCCAGGGCACCGAATAGTGCTTGTCAAAAATGTTCGGGTCTGTGTCATGCCAAGTCCACCAGAGCAGCTTTACACCTGAGGACAACAGGAGAGAGAGGAGAAAAAAAAAGGGCAATTGTTTCACGACTCCTGTGTGAACCTCAAACACGATTACACACTGCTGTTCACCCACAACTGCTACATGTTGGCCCTGCACACAGTGACGGAGCCCATGGCAACACTCGAAAAGAGATGGGAGTTTCTCCTGTTGACCTGGGCATCAATTTTAGGGCTTTGCTGTCCCCAAATTGGCTGCTGCACTGTCCTACAAATACACAGTCGCTGCGAGTTTTCAGTAGATCCTGGTAAGCTCTTTAAAGCATTTCGACGTTGTGATAAGGTGCAATAATTCTCACCTGCCAGGATTTTGTTTTCGCAATGCTTCAGCGGTGCGGAAGAGAGAAGGTAGGAACATGGGGGACTTTCAGCATGTAGCTGGGTTGATGCCCACAAAAGGACTAATAACGTCAAGTAGACGGAGAAGGTTGTCGGATTTGAAACATAATATGTGTGGGCGAGGCGGGGGTGGGGGTGGGGTGGTGGTGGGGTGGGGGGGAGGGGAGGGGGTGTTGGGGTTCACAGCTGAGCTAAATTTGAGCCAGCACAAAATGAGAACCAGGTGCTATGTAGTAATAATAATAATAAATCCTTGCATTTGATATAGCGCCATATCAAGTTGAGCCCTCTGAAAACACTTCACAGGATTTACTGTGAAGTGGTTTGACTGTGTATTTTGTTTGGGTCAGCGTGTGAGAGAAGTGAGGGAGCTCTATGTTAGGGTCAAGGTTAGAGAGGCGAGAGATCTTACCCATGATATCGAACGGGATGTCAATCAGGAGACTGCCAAGCCCGACTGCAAATGGCTCTGCCCACCAAGGTAAGCCCTGGCAGGTGACAGCAACGTACGAGCTGTACACAATTATGGGGCAGATGAAAACGATGTGGAGGGGCAGCCTGTTACCCGGAGTGAGAATAAACATAACAAACGAGTTCAGGTCAGACACGCACAGAAACAGTTGACAGGGCTAGAGGGGGCTAATGTCCCAGCACAGACCCCCCCACCCCCACCCCACAGCCCAAATCTATCTACAGTCTCCTTTCTAAAGGGAAGCTGGGAGGTAAAAATCCTGAGGAGGACCACAGCCAGTCCTCGGACCGGCCCCAACCCCCGAAACCCGTAGGTCCCCTCTTGCCAAGGCCGACTGCAAATGGCTCTGCCCACCAAGGTAAACCGAGGCAGGTGAAATCTCTCAACTCTTCGGGTGCTCCCACCCACCTCCAGTCCGGCAAGCCACTACTGACCTCTGACTGGCCAATGGTCCTGTCAGTCAAGCCAATGACTCAGTGAACTGATAGCTTGACTGACATGTCCATCGAACAAATTTTATTCAGCCCTCGCCCACTCTCACCCACTGCCAATGAGCCCAAGGAGGTGGAGTGCTTGGGGAGCAGCATCCATTTGACCTCCCTCCTAAACACTCAGATGTTCTACCCTCTAATCGCCAGCCTCTCTTTGGCTATTCCTTTGGTCAACACCATCTTTCCTTCTCCTTTCCTCCCTGCTCAGTGAACCCCCGAGATCTTTGTGAAGGGTTTCATTCGGCACCTAAAATTTTAAAGTAGGTTGTAAAAGTAAACCCTGAGCAATATTTTAGGACAGTAGAACGGGAGGACATGAAAGAGTGTAGAGCTGCAAAAGGGCAATTTCAGGACAGACACCAGGAAGTTTTTCTTTACTCAGAGGGTAATTAATGAATGGAACAGAGTTGCCAGGAAGGGTGGTTGACATGGGGTTGGGGGAGGGACTGGGTTGGGGGGGTTACAAAGTGGATATTTTGGAGGGATGAGATCAGAGTGGTCGAAGGGCCTTCTTCATCTCAACCCATCGTGTGATGTTGTGAAGATGATTGCCTAATGTGGAAGGGGCCCAACTTGTATAAGATAGAAACAGGAGGAGGCCATTCAGCCCCTCGAGCCTGTTCCGCCATTCTATAAGATCATGGCTGATCTGTACCTCAAGTCCTTAATACCCTAACCTAACAAATATAGTTGAAGTTCAAGTTGTTTAAGTTGCTGCGTCTATTTTGCGTCCTGTAAAAGTTTGGACCAGTTCAGATCATTTACAAAAACAAGAAGTTGGACTGCAGTCAATGTCCAGAACTCTTCAAGGTTGCTGGCAGCAGTGGAAATGATAACGTATGCACAACACAGGCAGAAAACAGCTCCTCTCTGTGTGTGTTCAGTACTGTCCGAACACAACTCTCATTGGAGGGACTTCTGACAGCAGCATTAACAATCCCTAAACTATTGATTTGATTCAGGTTTTTAAAATCATGAAGGGATTCAATAGGATAGATACAGAAAAGCTATTTCCTTTGGTGGGGGAATCCAAAACACGGTGGGTATCATCTTAAAATTACAGCTAGGCCACTTAGGAGTGAAATTAGGAGTCAGTTTTTCACCCAAAGGTAGAGGAAATCTGGAACTCATTCCCCAAATGGCTACGTATGCTGAATCCATTCATATTTTCAAGATGGAGGCAGATAAATATTTGTTAGGTCGGGGTATTTAGGGCAGCGCCTTGGGACTTCCTCCCGACGTGAAAGGCGCTATACAAATGTCATCTTGTTGTTGACTATGGGGCAAGGGCGGGTAACTGGATTTGAGGTACAGATCAGCCATGATCTTATAAAATAGTGGAACAGGCTCGAGGGGCTGAATAACCTACTCCTGTTTGAGGAGTGTTCCATTCGGGACACAGGGAAATATCCACGCATAGGTGGCAGATACACATGGGTTGTTCTCAGTGTGATTTGGAGCACAATATATTTATGGCTTGACTTACCGAGGAGCATCACCGAGCTCTGAGCGTGCCAGAAATTATCCAAATCGGGGACAAAGTAGGAGATCACCTCCATTGTAATCCCATGAAGATGGTGGCGAGCCATATATACTTCCATCTGTTAAGAGGAAATAATAAACCACTCGGGCATCATTTTAGCACAAAACTTCACCAGAACAGATTGGCTGAGAAATCCCGGGATAGATCGAGTTGGAGTCTGTCCAATTAGCCTTGATGTCAACACAGCCAGGATGCAGGAAGAGTTAAGAGGAAGGTCTGGGTGTGAGCGAGCATTGGTTGTGATGGATCCAGCTCACCTAGCACTATGTGCCCACAGAATAGGCAGTCAATCCACTTTGCAGTATGTTCTGCGCAGAGCTTTGAGACGTCAAACAAAAGGGTTATTATTATTAATCATGTTTATATTAATAATAATAAAAGGTATTCGAAATTATGAGGGGTTTTGATTGAGTGAATAAGGAGAAATTGTTCCCACTGGCAGGTGGGTCGGTAACCAGAGGACACAGATTTAAGATAATCGCCAGAAAAAACAGAGGGGAAAATGAGGAGAATAGAGAAGAGCGGGAGAATGGGACTAATTGGATGGCTCTTTCAAAGAGCCAGCACAGGCACGATGGGCCAAATGGCTGCCTTACTGTGCTGTAAGATTCTGTGACTCAATGAATATTCAGCTTTCAACCTGGAATGTTCAGATTCAATACCCGATTCTGAAATCATTTCTCGTTTCCATCCCGATCAGGTAATCCACCGAGTAAAATCCATCTTTTTAATGGAAAGGCTCTGTTGTAAATAACTCCAGGTTGGTGTGAAATAATCAGCTTTGCTGGATTGCTGACGGCACATTAGTTTTGCTCTTGACTTGCGACAGATTTGTAGACTCCAGTCTGGAGCTGCAGCAAGCATTCCATCCAAAAACCTGCGTCTCTGCTCCACTCGCTCTGCACAGAAGGCGTGTGCAGTCAGGGGGCAAAGTCACCTAATTTCCTCGCAAAGAAACGGCATTCGGTTTACAAAGGGGAAAACTACAAGATAGACTGAAGGGACCAAAGCGGATTATGAGTCTCCATTGGCACCATCAAGCCAATGCTCTCTATGGTGTCACTCACTGTTCCCACAAGCTCACAAGGTTTAGGCTGGAGGAAGAAGACCCTTCAGCCCAATCTGATGTCATCCCTCCAGATCACCTGGATACTGTCCTCACATCACAGCATCAAACTGCTTGTTAAATGAATCCCAGGGTCCTGGGCCCACCGCCTTTCGCCAGCAACACTGTTCCAGTCTTTGATCAAAAGAAACACTTCTCTCCTGAAATTGCCATTTGTAACAAGATATCTTGAATTGAAATGAAGTGAAAGGCCCTTATAAATGTAAATAATGTAAATAATAATAATGATCCTTGCATTTGATATAGCGCCTTATCACCTCATCGGGATGTCCCAAAGCGCTTCGCAGAATATTCTGTAAAGTGAATTGACAGTGTATTTTGTGCTTGAAAAGCGGCTGCCAATTGCGCACAGCAGCGTCCCACAAACAGCCATAGAGTGAGTGACCGATTTTATTTGGGGGAATTGTCGGCCAGGACACCGGGAGAGAGAACCTCCCCCCCTCCCCCCCCCCCCCGGCAGACGGGACCTCAGTTTAAAGTTGTCATCCTTGCCACAGCAACACGTAAAAATCCTCCCTTGTGTCTAGGCTTGTACAAGGAAAAAGATCGCTTTGGATGAGGTACCTTGAAGATGGCCAGGGGATGTAGAACGGCACTGCAGTTCTAGTGCTGTCTTCCAGGGCAGATAGAGGGGCACAGTGAAGTGCAATGGATCAGCATTTAAAATCTTGTCACTGAAACTGCTCCCAAGGCTGCACTGAGCCCTGGTTGTTTCATACCGTATCTGCATCCAGTGAAGGAGCCAAGAACATTCAAATCAGGTCTTGTTGTCCTTCCCGGTGTTCAATTCGGCAGCCTTTCCCAGCAACTCTGTGTCAGCCTGGCTCATTCGGTAGCGCTCCCACCTCTGAGCCAGAAGGTTGTGGGTTAAAGCCCCACGTTGGGAGTTGACCAACAATTCCCCCAAATATAATTTGTCATTCACTTCATGGCTGGCTGTGGGACATTGCTGTCTGCAAATTGGCTGCTGAGTTTGCCCACAAAATACACAGCCACTGCACTTTGCAGTATATCCTGTGAAGCGCCTTGGGACGCCTTCTCGACACGATAGACATGGTACCAACTGCAATGATTATTATTATTAATAATGCGATTACAGTTTAAATCACTTTGCGGTGAGACGGGTCAGCCAGACCAATGACACTGCCAGGTTACATATAAATGGATGTTACTTTTATTAATAGATCTGAGCTTCCTAAAATAGTTACTTTTTTGCAGGAGGTTGATATTTTGATCACCAGGTGTTTTGTCAAGCCATTTCTGAATAGCTTTATTAAGCGTGCCAGTTGCACCGATGATTATAGGAACTACATTTGTTTTATATTGCCACATATTATTATTACTACTAATACTCTCCGCTTAATCTCGGGTGCAAAATATTACAGATTATCCATACACTGCTGAGATGGGTTCCCAGTGATATTCACCTCATCAAAACCATTCAGAACTCGTGCCATTTAGAATATGACTGTCGCTCTGCCTGAATGGTAATACGATTGAGGAATCAGGGCTATAAAAGACGTGGACGTAATTGCAATTCTATGTGCAATCCAAACACTTCTCAACAAGGTCACGCGGGTAAGATTTTCATTTCACATCGTGAACGCCTGATTTATCTTTGACATAATTGTTACAATTTCAAAAGGTCATTGCTTCACGAGGATCAATTCACGTTTAACTTACCGCACACAAAGCACTTGAAGCGTGTATTTAAGGAATGCATTAATAATCCATGTTTTAAAGAGCGAGTGAGGTAAACGAAACGAGCGGAAATGTTTTCAGGCTCAGAGACAGGCTGCAGCTGCTTATAAATTGTGCAATCTGGAAGCTTTCAGGCATCCTATAGAACCTGATTACATTATACATTGAGATTGTCCATCACACTCACACACTCACTCACTCACTCTCTCATGGCTCAGATGGCACTGCCATGCAGTATTATTAAGCACACAGCGCCTTATCACCTCTTCGAGACGTCGGAAAGTGCTTCACAGAATATACTGCAAAGTGAATTGACTGTGCATTTTGTGGGCGAAACTCAGCAGCCAATTGCGCACAGCAGCGTCCCACAAACAGTCGTGGATTGAGTGACCGACTTTTTTTTAATTAATGGATTATTACCCCGCAGAATGGCGATCCGCCAATCGACTAACAATCGACTTAACTTCCTGCTAAGTAAACAAAAGTGTGTGGATTAAGGTTTCGCCCTGCTCCGGAATCAAACTCAGGTCCTCTTGCTTGCGAGGCGAGTGCTCTAACTACTACACGACAAAACTCCATGGGGAGTGCTGATTTGTTGGATATGTGTCCTTTGGATGAGCTTTTAAACCAAGGTCCAGTCATTAAAGATCCAACAGCGCTATTTGAAAAGAGAAGGACGTTTCTCCCGGTGTCCTGGCCGACAATCCCCCTGATTAAAATATTGGTCATTGGCTTAATGTCCGATTGCGTGACATTGCTGTACGCAAATCGGTTGCCGTTTGTGGCTACAAACACGCCCGTTACCGCACTACACGGAAAAACTCAGTGAAGGGGTTTGAGATGTTTTGACGTGATAAGGCACTGTATCAAACGCAAGAATTATTATTATTACAAATCACCAACAGAATCTGCGAATATTATATTCCAAGGAGCCAGTGTTCTTTCTATCTTTAGGTTTTGAATTGCGAATGATTGGGAATGAGTAATAAGGCTGTAATTTACTGAGGGCTCTGATGCATTGTGCAGCATCATAATTACACCCTTACACTCACTCTCTGCCATCTACTGGTCTCGATAATGTAAAAATGATGCTAATGACATTTAAAGTAGAACTGGACCTCTGTTAACTGGAACAGGTCACCAACACTGAACGTTGCTGTCTTATGATTCACAGCAAAGCGGAATAATGGAATTTTTTTTTAAGTTGGGATGAAAGATGTATTTTAGACTTGACAGTCCTATAGCATTCTAAAGATATCTCTGAAGTTGACAGGAATCCAGGGCAGATTGCATGACACACGCCTTGACGTGGAGGATCTGGGCTAGTAGAGTGGATGATTTTATCAGCAATAAACAACAACAACAACAACAACAACGGTGCCCTGGCCAATAATCCCCCCCAAATAAAATTGGCCACTCAGTCCATGCTGTGAGCAATTGGCTGCCGAGTTTCGCCCATAAAATACACAGTCACTCCACTTTACAGTGTTCTGTGAAGCGCTTTGGGACGTCCTCCCGACGTGAAAAGCGCTATATCAAATGCAAGGATTATTATTATTATTATTATTATATCCTGTGAAGGAGTCGTCCCAACGACGTGCTAAGGCATTATATCAAATGCAAGGATAATTATTATTTTATTAAAACAACAACTTTATATCGTAATAGCGCCTTTCACTTCGGGAGTATGTCCCAAGATGCTGGACAGTTTGATGGCTTGCATCTGAGATGGGGGTTGGATTCGGGATGGGTGGAGTGGGGGGGGGGGGGGGGTGATGACCAAAGGCATAGTCAAAGAGGGAAGTCCTGAGGAGGACCTTGAAGGAGGTGAGGGAAGGAGTGAAGTGAAGTGACTGTGGATGAGCTCCAGAGAGCATGCCCACAACTATGGATTGCTTCATAGCTTTTGTCACCTTTTGGGTCCAAATTGATAACTGTCGAGTGCCCTGGGACGTCTTCCCGATGTGGAGGGCGCTGTATAAATGTAATTTTGAATTGTATTGTATTGTTTCCCCAGTTCTACTATTAACAAGGTCCAAATGATTCAGAACAAACTCCCTGCTGACCAGAGCAGCAGAGGGCAGAGGCCTGGAACATAGCACGTGGGAACTGAACATGTCTTACCTTCCTCCATTTCGGACCACGTGCTTCAGAATCAACAGAGTCACAAGGTAGACGACAATTTCATTCAGAAGGTGTGTAGGATGGTTTTCCCAGATGTTCTTCGGATTTCGCAGCGAAACCCACCAGTTCCACTTCCCCATCTCGATGCTCTCCTCGACTTGATTTCCTTCAGATCAAATTCTAGTATTGAACCAAAACACACGGGTTATTTTGAAGCCAGTTGACTTTGGGCAAAACACTTCGGAGGCTGAAATATCCTATCACACGGAATTGAATAATTACTCTGATCAAATGCTTGGCTAATTTACACAAGTTAAATGAAACGCCACAAAGCAAGGATCCCTCAGTCCAGTGAGACAAACCGAATATCTGATTTGCTAAAAACTTGCTTTAGAGAAGGGAGCTTCTCTCTCTCCCTGTGTCCTGGCCGACAATCCCCTAAATAAAATTGGTCACTCGCTTCATGGCTGTTTGTGGGGCACTGCTTTGAGCAAATCGGCCACCACATTCGCCTACAAAATACACACTCACTGCGAATCACAGTGTACTCTGTGAAGCACTCAGAGACATCCTCCTGATATGAAAGGCCCTTATATGAATACAATTATTATTTTTATTAATAAACAGCACTTTGTTGCTCAAACCTGCTGGATGTATTCTTGATGATCTTTAACCCTATAGCAATTTGGAGGCAATTTTTGCCTCCATTTGTTTGCTCCACCACCCCCAACATGTCCAACCTCCCAACCCCTTCCCTTCCTCCCCCTCTCCCCACATCCTGAGTCTTGGACAAAATGGGTACTGCAGTTATATAGCTATACGAGTTTTTAAAATTCCCTTCATCTCCCCTCTGGTCCTTTTGCCAATAAGAAGTATCAGATTGCTGTTAGAAATCTAGGGAAATGCTTCAAGTGTCAAGGCATTTGTTGAAGGGTTTAATATAGGCTCTTCAATGAATACAATACGATGATCGGATACAATGATGGGATGGATGGAGATTACATCAGGGCACAAGAAGTCACGGGGTCTTCCAGTGTGTTGTCCAATTTGATCAATCTTGACCGACCAGCCACTACGTCCCGTAAGAAGAGTGGAACACTCTTCTTCTATCCCTCCGCCTTGCCCCCACCTTATCTATCTTCCCTAACAACTTTCCTCTGTGACCGGGCCTACGGTCACCTCCCCCTCTCGCCCCCCGGCTCAGCGTCATGCTCCATTACTGTCAAGCGTTCTTTGGCTCTACCCTGTGTGACGGTCGTTATATAAATGCAAGTTGCTATTGTAAATGCAAGTTCCTGTTGATCAAGGAATGGAATGATCCCAGTTTAGTTTTGGCCGGGCCCACACTACAACATTGAGAAGGACATCAGCAGGCATGAAAATCGCTTTCCCTAATCATTAGCAACCTTCAGTAATGACATCCATCACTTCCACTCTTACTGTGTCGCAACAGGTTGCTTTCTAACTCAGAGAAGCCTGCTGAGAACAAATAAGAACTCCATCAATCACATTACACTGAGCAGTGAGGCACGGCCAAGGGATTTGATGCTGGATGTTCGTGGAATTTATTTTTTTTAACTTTGAGAGAAGATGGATTAGAGAGCAATATTCCAATGCTTTCCTCTGGGGCGATAACTCCCACGCAAAAATCAATCGATCACACAGCAGCAAACCAAACCATCTACTGAATTCAAAACTAAGGGTGCCTGGCTCAGTTGGTAGCGCTCTCGCCTCTGAGTTGGAAGACCGTGGGTTCAAGCCCCACGTCGGGAGTTTGAGCCCACGTTGTCTAAGGTGGCACTTCAGTCCAGTGCTGGGGAGAGCGTTGCGTTGTTGGAGGTGACGTCCTTCGGATGAGACGGTAAACCGAGGCCCCATCTGCCTGTTCAGGTGGATGTTAAAGATCCCATGGCACCACTCGAAAAGAGAGGAGAGTTTCTCTTGGTGTGCCAGAAAAACAACCCCCCGAATCAAACTGGTCATTTACTTCACGTTTATGGGGCATTTGGCTGTGCGCAAACACAAGACCCAAACGTGAAATGACCTCTGCATATCTTTTTGTTGTGCAGCACTGTAGTATTGTGCACTAGCACGAGCTGAAGCCTTACACCCTTCCTGCAGGGGGAATAGATGCGCTGCTCTCGAATTAAAATGCAAGCCTTGGTTTCCCATCTTGTGTAATGGGGCCGTAGGGGTTTGGAGTGCACGTAACCTTTTACAGTGACTGCATGCGGTGTCGTTCCGGATTTAACAAAGGTTTTGAGAATGCCCACAACAGCAAGCTGACTGTGCGCACTGGGGAGAGAGACCGGACAGAACAGGACAGAACAGGAGAGAGAAGAGAAAAGGCGCAGATACGGCAACGTGGACGTGTTTATTTTTACGTTTTGCTTCCTGCAGAAGGCAATCCGCTCTGAGGCATTTAAAAAATTAGCAGATGGGGTTTAGGGGTGATAGCAGATGGGGTGAGAGGCACTGAATCAAACGTTAAGGATTATTATAATAATAATGATAATAATCCTTGCATTTGACATAACACCTTATCACGTCATTGAGACATCTCAAAGCTCTTCACAGAATATATTGTAAAGCCAATTGACTGTATATTTTGTGGGCGAGACATTTAACATTTCAAAAAGAAAAGATACAAGACTGTTATACCACGGAGGAGGGATTGATTGTAGAGAGAAATTTGTGAACATATTATTACTTTGTATTTTCTAAACGCAGTCTTTAAAATATTTTGTTTTTGCTCTGTACTAACTCTTCAGGTCAGCACTTAAGATTGACAAGATCACAAGAAAGGTTTCTTTGGCTCATTTGATCTAATCTGCTACAACACTAAGTAGTTTCTTGAATAAATCCAGTGTCCTGGCCTCCACCTGGTGTTGTGATTCTGCGTCATAACTGAAATTGTGGATACACGTAGTCGAAAGAATTACTTTGATTAATGGTTAAAAACGATGATGCAACGAGAAAAACGCCAAGATGACATGTTTATGATTGTTAAAGATGTTGGTCCATAACAAATTCATGTTTAATTAGTGTTGTGTTAACGATGAGGTAGTTAAAGAGGTTTTCCCATAAGAAATTCATGTTTTAATTAGTGTTGTATTAAAGTGTCCTATATCAAATCTGCAAGTGTAATAACAATTCTGCAGATTGTATTTTATTTTTTGCTTCATGTGAGATAATTGGTTCATGGACGTGAGAAAGGAGAAATTGTTTATTCTCATCCTGCCCGTGGAAAATCGATTTTAAAAGTTGTCCGGCCAAACTATATTTTGTTCAGCTTAGGACATAACATACCAGGTGCTGTCCACAACAGAGCTATCTTTCATGTGAAGTGGTGAAGCAAATGTGTTGTTTTCGGGGTTAAAAACCGCCAGACTTAGACTGTTTCCATCGTTTCATCAACTTTGGTTAACTCTAGCAATTTCAGGAAGAAGGAAATTCCAGAACGTCTGAAATCGATTGAAAGGTAACGTGAGGAGAAGAATAACGTCGTATAACAACTGTCGAATAAATTGCACGGCTCAGCTGTCCATCATCAACGTTGATTTTCTGATCAATTTCCCAAGTAAGAAATTTCTAGTCTGAAGCAAAGAGACTTTTCATCTGGTGCAAGACTTTTAACCTGCTTTTGTGAATTTGCCAACTGATTGGCGCTGCCAACTCAACGCCTTGGGACGTCCTCCCGACGTGAAAGGCGCTCTATAAATGGAATCTTGTTGTTGTTGTTGTTGTTGATTCTACCAAAGAAGCAAAGATTTGAATGATTTATCGACTGACCAATTGCTGGTTCTGTTACTTTTTAATCGTACATTAATCTACTCTATTGACCTGTCTGTTGTATTTGTGATAATTGAAATAACAAATTTGACATTTCTTATTAGGTAAAGAATTTTCAAAACATAAGTTGCTGAGTGTCTTTGGTTCCTCTGTTCTCGGGTCCTTAATTAAAAGAAGGCTAAAAAGAATAAGCTGGTCTTATTCTGCTTTACCAGGCATTAATTACCCTTTGGATAATAATACAGTAATAATAATATTTTTTAAAAATGATCAACGCCCGAACAGGGACTTGAACCCTGGACCCTCAGATTAAAAGTCTGATGCTCTACCGACTGAGCTATCCGGGCTCTTAAAGACTTTGTGCTTGTAAGTGAATCGCTTCTGAAGTCGGGAGTCTCTGCTGTACACTCCCCCTCTTGAATGATCATAAGTCTGATGACTTTTTCTAAGAATCTCAGCTGGACGGCAGTTAATACTTTTTGCTGATTTACGTCCTTTAACCCATCGCTGCTGCAAAGCGATTGGTGATCACTCAGGTTCGGGCCTGACCTAAGTGTTCCCCTACAGTTGACTGCCAGCCGTAAATTACTGAGCACAAGTCTCTAAACATGTGCCAGACAAGAGGATACATGCTTTTTTTTGACGCCAAAGGGCTTCCTCTGCAACTTTGATCAGTAATGGTGAACCCACAACTTGGCCTTTACACGACGTTACAGTCAAGAACGTTTTTAAACACTCGGCACCTCTAACAATCTCCCTGGCCCCACACCCCGCCACCGCCAGATCTGCACTGGAGTGTTAGGATAGACTATGTGAGCCAATGTCCCAAAGTGGGGGCTTGAACCCACAACCTTCTGACTCAGAAGCAAGAGTGCTACTAACTGTACTAACTGAGCCAGGCTGACACACCACAGCCAAAGAGATGGGTATTGGGATGAGTTTGGGAGTGGAGACATTTGCCCTTTCCTCCGTATCCCGTGATACCCTTTACCGCACAAAAATCTATCGACCATAGAACCTCAGAGGAAATGCTTACGTCAACACTACATATGGCAGGAAGATGGGAGCGGGGTAGTTTGGAGTGTGTAGGCTGTGATTGTGCGGGGCTCGATGGACGAACATCCATCTGGTGTTCCTAATTTCCTATGTTCCTCCACTCAGGGACCTTTTTTCCTTCCTCCCCTCCTTTACCTTCCTTCCCTGCAAGCCCCCCTTCCCGCAAACTAGTGAAAGCCGCTGAGATAAGCTGGCAAACAGAAACGCCAGCTACGTTGAGCCTAGAATCAGCACCTCTCCTCCCAGAGAGAGAGAGAGATCTAGATCACATCAGCAGTGAGCTTTGCACAGAACTCTGACAACACTGAAGTCAATGGAAGCTTCATGCATCA